GTTAGACCCAGTAAGAGATGAACAGAAATAACAAAAAAACAATTCTAACAATATACTATAACTACTCATCAGCTCATTAGTGTTGTGCTTCAGAGACATTATAAAGTACAAGGAGGGTGACTTGACTAGAAGCATTGGGACACTACGACAATTGATGCTGACTACCCAGTGGCTAACAGGTGGGTAGCATATAGTAGGGATGCACTGGCCAAGTGGATACTTTACAATCAAGATAGGAGGAAGCAGGATGGCAAAAAATTTCATCATTCTACTCAATAGCATGCACCTGAAACCTTACAAATTTTACCTGAAACTTTTCATTTAACATTTTCAGATCACAGATGATCAGAGGTAACTGAAACCAGGGATAGCAAAGCCACAGACTGACAGGAATGCTCTAAAACTATATATAGTTTCCACTTATTTTTTTCTAACAGGTAACAGAATGTACACTGTCTTTTGCACCTTGCAATAAAAGTGAACTTAAAAAAACTTTAACACTGAAAAGTAACAAATTCACAAAGCATTATTTCAAAGAATCCTATACCTTCTTAACATACCCAAGAATAGTAAACACAAGATCTTATGAGGTAGGCTGGGGAGATAGCTCAGTGGTATAAGTGCCTGCCCAGCAAGCACAATGTCCCGAGTTCGATCCCTGGTACCAAAATAAAAAATCTAAAAAAAGATGTTAAGAAGTAAAATAACATCCAGATGGAAATATCCAGTGTAAAATGTTAGCAATATAATATCCTAATAAATTTCATGCATCTATCATCAAGGTCTTCTCTCATGGGCAAATATTAGTCTGGGAAATATGAGACGGCACTGAAATGTACTAACTATATTAGTGAGGTCTTGCCTCATAATTAAGGTATTTAGACAAAATCTGGAATCCCATAGAGGAGATTCCAAGTGTGTCTCAATGGGAAGGCTGTCCTGAATCAAACTCATGAGTCTTTTTCATTCATACCTAAACAGCTTCAGAGAATAACCTTCTATTAAATACTACTGCATGTGTTATTCATAAAATGACCTTGATTCATGAAGAAGACACTACACTGTGATCAGCTACACATCACTGAACCTCACTAGAGCTCTAAAGACTTATAGGAGGCTGTTTACCTGTCTTCCAAGAGTGGGCAATATTAATTTTGACTGGGCAGGTCTGGCTGACTGGTAGGACTACCCAGTATCTACTAGAATACCGGATTTAAGACAGAACTGCTCACTGGAAATAAACTTATATTCAAGTAAGAAAGCGTCAGACATGACAGATAAGTTCCTCACAGTATTTTAGCCAACTGGAGGAGTGGTTCTAAGGCTCACTTAAGAGTTGCTTTCCAACTTCAAAAGGAGGTGTTCACCCTGTTTCTGCTCACAATACAACTTGGCTTGGCTCAATACAGGCTGCAGGAATACTTTTTGGCATGAAGGGTTTCAGGAAATCAGAACTGCCCATGGAAGCACTGAGATTGAGGGTGGCGGGGGGACCAGGAAGACGCAGGATACCTCCAATAACAAAGAACCTGCATATGTTTTTGCATGCATCAGAGGCCTCAGAAGCTGAAAGCAAGTAGGTAAAATCTTGTTCATGAGCATACTGAGTGGTGAATCTGAGCAATAAGGGGGAAAGAACCATTGGGTGAACATCTCCGTGGAATCAGATAAAGGTGACAAGTGGGTTCTACGGAGTAGCCAGTTCATTATGCTAAACGAGGGTTGTCAGGGTTTTTAAACAAGTCTGAAATTCTCTGGCACTTCTCTCATTAAAAAGTGGAAGATGGGCCGGGGAGATGGCTCAGTAGGATAAGTGCTTCCCTGACAAGCACAAGGGCCTGAGTTCAATCCCTGGTTCGGAAAAAAAAAAAAATATATATATATATATATAGTGAAAGATCTCCATCCCCTTTCTTGAATTAGAGACTTAGTCACTTTCCTGTGTCTAGTAAATTGTAGCAGAGCTGACACTCTATGACTTTTTTATTTTTATTTGTATTTGTTTATTTTATTTATTTTTTGGCAGAACTGGGGATTGAACTCAGGCCCCGTCGGACTTTGGAGACTGGATCATACATAACTTGCAACGCAGCTTTTCCTTTGCTTACTAGGACACTAGCATTTGAAGCTTTTAGCTGCCGTGGGAAAAATCTGACTACCCTGAGGCAGTCCCGTTAGACAGAAGCTCAGGCCACACAAAGAAAATACACTCAGGTGGTTTGCATGACTGACGTCCCAGTTTCAACCACCAGTCATGTCAGTAAAATGCCTCCAGAGTATTCCAGTCCCTAACAACGGAGACACCCCCAGGCACTCAGTTTTCCTCTGCTGAAGTTCCAGATATGGAGTCCACGTAAGCCATCTTTGCTATGTCTTCTCTGAATTCTGACTGAGAGGGTGACTTTACATTTTGCAAAAGGCAAAACTGTGACATTTGAGCCTGACAAGGATATGGTTAGGTGGGTTGGACTAGCACTGCTATCATGCTAATTTTATAGATTAAAAAGCAAGACAAGGGCCAGCCTGATAGCTCAGCGGACTAAAGCGCCTACTTAGGCAGATGCAGCGGCCAGGATTCGATACCCAGCCTGCTGTGCCAGCCCCTCCCCCGGGGCTCACTGAGTCCGCGATGGAGACTGGGCATGGTGGTGCAAGCCTGTAATCCCAGCATTTAGGAGGTTGAAAATAGAAGAATCACTATGAGTCCATCTACACAGTGAGACCCTGTAGACCCTGCCCTAAATATAGAAAAAAAAAAAGACAAGAAACAGAAAATTTAGCTTACCTGTTTTCAGATTATATAACCAAGATGTGGCACGTTGGCACTAAAGTCCTGATTTTAGACACCAAGATTATGCTTTCTTTGTTGTTTCTTCTACTGTGGCACGGTAGGATGGCCTATGACAGTAGAATATCTTCAAACCTTGAAGACAGGATGAGAAGATATTGAATGAATGAAAAGTAACAAGAATCTGTATTAAATGAATGAGATCACCCATCATGTAGAAACGTAATCACCTAAGACATGGTCAGGGCACTGTATTCGCAGCACTCTAGGAAGCTGAGATAGCAAGATGGAAAGTTTGAGCCCAATTTGGGAAGAACTTCGCAAGAACTTGTTTTTTGTTTTTAAAGGCAAAGACTAGGATGCAGCTTAGTACAAAGGCTTTAGGTTCAATCTTTAGTACCAGGAAAAAAAATACATATATATATCCTATCTATTTTTTGTACCAGGGATTGAACTCAGAACCTCGTGCTCACCAGGCAAGCGCTTATGCCACTGAGCTATCTCCCCAGCCAAGTGACCTATCTTTATATATTGATGCTGATAAATAAGCTTATCATTTAAAATGGAACCATTGGGGAGGGGAACCTAGAACTTTTCATGTTACATATTTTAGGGGCTAATTTTTAAAAAATCAAACAGGTCCCTCAAAGAATAAAATAAAAATAACAAACAGGAACATCTCCTGACAGTTATGATTCTGATAATGTCAACAAAAAAGGTCCCTTGATTGGCTGATGGTGGTATTTTAGTCTGCTGAAAAATTTATCACGCTGAAGAGTGCTAGCATAGTTTCATGACACTGTCTTTAGGATTATCTTCATTTATTCTTTGCTACAGTACCTTCTGGTTTAAATTCAGTTCCTCAAAAAGTTTCCTACTTGGATGAAAATATACGGTGAAGTTGCCAAAGCGTAAAATTCTCACTTGATGGGTGGTATTTATAGAGAAACTATTAGTATTTTGATTCAGCAAGTAGCCACATGCACAGCTTCCGATCTTGGGGACCAGATAAAATGAGCATACTACTTCAGAAGTCAGTAGGACAGCTTTCCCGCTTTCCAAGCATGCTAAATAATGTCACTCCTGATGCTCTCCAACCCTGTGAGAAGCACAAAAAGGCAGAGACCACTCAAGCTTTCATAACTTCACGTTCAGGTCACTTCAACAATGAACTGCATGTCATCAGCAGCTTCAATGTTTCTCCCCTTCCTTAACTTTTCGTGATTATTCACACTTTCTTTTAATGTATTTTTAACATTTTTTAAAAATTCCATTCTGTAATTAGGCTTCTCAAAGAGAATCTACTTCGCCTCAGCTCGTTGTTTTGAACGTACTTTACAGGCAATGCCTTGGAATATTGTGTTCACGAAAGGCACAAATATGTATTTTCAATGATTTTCTTCAAAATAAGAATGATTAGTTTTGATGGTTCGGATGTCTAGGATGCTATGTGCTTTGCATGCGTCCTGGTGCACTCGACTGACATTTGTTAAATGAATCAATCTAGGAGGGGAATAATACATCGAAAGAAAACATTCCCTTTTCTTCAACGATGAGGAGAAAGGAGCTTTTAGATTTCCACCTGGATTCATTTTTTAACAGGTCAAGTCCTTCAAGGCTAGCGTTCAAGCACCATACTGACAATTTAGCGGCTCGTCGTTGTAAAGGAAATAACAAGTAGTGTAGGCTTCCCCGCCTCCTTGCCTCTAGGATCCCAATTTCTCGAACACCACCCCTGCGCTTCTAGTAAATCGCACACTGCAGAACAGGCGGAGGACAGAGGAGATGAGAAGAAAGTAGGAAATCGGCGTCATGGAAACCACAGAGCTGAGGGAACGTGCAAAAGCGCGGGCGGCCTGAAGCGCAGGCACTCCCCACTTCAACGACGGCGCGAGGGCGCTCCGCCGATGACGTCACGCTCGTGGGGTGACGTCACGACCGTGACTCGGGGGTGACGCCGTTGCCGCGGCGACTTCTCGTCGTCTCCGCCCCCTTCGCCCGTCCCCCCTCCCCTCGTCCTTCCCCCCAATCCCCTCCGGCTCGGCTGCGCCCGGGGCCGCGGGCCGGTACCTGAGGTGGCCCAGGCGCCCTCCCGGCCGCG